TATATATTTCTTTGTCTTAAACAATTGAGATGGATTAGAAACGTCACAATACATTTACTAACTTTCTGAATGCTAAATGTACCATTAGGATAGCCTTTGTATACTCGTATAATTCTTATACTAAAAATAAGAAAGAAGAATAGAAATCAGTGTAGCTCGGTATTCCAATAAGATATTATGAAAAGCACTTAGATATATTGTCTAGTAATGATATTCTGAGGCAAGGCTTGCACTCAGCAGGGCCTAGAGTGCATGTCGCAGTTGATGTAAGAACTTCTTGACAATATGTTTTATTTTATTTCATAATTCATCTGTTTCGTAGCTGTCACGTGACAGACGAGAGCGAGCATGAAAAGTCTTTATTCGTTCATTTTTTTCTAAGCATTGCTTTTGTTAATTTAGGTGGTTTAAAGTCCTTTTCTTTGCAGAGGTTAAAACACAGTAAAAGATGCAAAAAGGGTTTTCTTTTTTTCCAATTGTTACTAATGACACACATAACGTATGAATATTACCAAGTGCGTGTGCTTATATTTTTCAGCAATTACAAAGTTTGACAAAACAGCGCTGCCATAAGTGCGCTTCTTACCAGTCCGGAGGCGGTGCTTGTGGAGGGAAGAGCCTTCAGTGAGCGAGGAAAAGGTGCGTGTGAGTCACTTCATTTGTAGAGACTGGCGGTGCCGCTGCGTTGTCTAGTATCAGTAATTTTGAGTAATCTACAGCAAAAGTGACTGTTTATATATGGTGAAGTCAGCTGTCCCAAGCAAAGTAAAGGGATGTGTTTGTTAAAGATATGATAGTCTCTCTCTTTCGCACATATCTTATATTTTCTGTTTCTCTCTCTTTCACACACTCATGTTATGTTACCGTCTGTCTCTCTCTACACACACACGCACATATATATGTGTGTGTGTGTGTGTGTGTGAGCATATATAGATTAACAGAAGAATGTTGAAACCTTCGTTCCTTTACACACAGGTCCGTCATGTTCTTCTCGCTCAGGATGGAGGTCGCTTTCCCTTCCGTGGTCATGGCGTTGGCGGTGCAGCTGTGGCCGCCGTCCCTGGCCGCCCAGACTGCTCTCTTCCGCAAAGTTCTGGTGTCCGAAACAAGCTCATGACGTCACGGCGTCTTGAGTCTGCCTTGCTTCCTTTGGGCACTTTGCAGACTCTCCAGTGCTCAGCCAAGTGCGGCGTCCAGCCCTGGTGTGACCTGTGGTGGCTCTCCGCAGACCAGTGCTTCATGTCGAACATGATCGTCATGCCAGGCTACGCGGAGACCAACATGGCCGATGCTCTGGCTTGCTTCACGCGACGCCACAAGGACTACGCTACAGGGGCTGTCATCCAGGGCACGATGCATAATCCCTTAGATCCTTTAAGGGTGATAGAAAACCTTGTGGACGGAATCTATGACGTGAACACATTAAATATGTGTTATCTTTCTCATGAGTATAGTACAAATCACTGGATTCTGCTCGACTTCGGGGCTCCGCGCACCTTTCGCACTGTCAAGCTCATCACTCAATCCGGGGGAGCGGCTTTTGCACTCTTGAACTTGGTGAATCTGGAAGCCCGAGCGGGGATGTCTCCCGTGAGCCAACCGGGGAACTTCAGCTCGTATGCTTTGTTGGGAACGTTCCCCGGTCCCGCAACTTCATTCAACCAGGAAATCGTGATTGAGGCTCCCGCCCCATGACAGCCAGGTTTCCTGTCGGTCCAGAAAGTGAGCGGGACAGATTTCATTCAGATCTGTCACCTTGAAGTCTATTAGGCTGAAGTCCTTGTTGGAAACGGCGATCAGAACTGCCTTATATTAGCTCTAGTGAATTAAGAACAATGCTTATGATCAAAATGTATACCTTCATAACTGTTGTAGCACAGCTCGCACCATAATCGTAAGTTTATTGTATACAGTGACAGATAATCTTTAGTAAATCGATATAAGTGTATTCAGTTAACAGTTATAATTCAGAATGGCGTTCAGGAACATAAATTTGAGAACCAAAATCAAAACACAGGTTCTATGAAACATGTAAGAGACACGTTGATAAAATTATATCATGCTGCATGTGCACCTGCCTTTGTTCATATGGAAGCCAGTATGTAACTTTCCATTGTGTTAGAGCAGCAAGTCTTAGTCTGCATTTGATATTTGATATTACGCTATTCTGTTGAAGGTTAACAAGACTACCTCCCTCACTGCAATGCTAGTGACCTTGCTTTTATCATGTAAAAGGGGGGAAGATTAGCATTAGCCATGCTCATCCCAGCCGAAGATTTATTCATTATGATATGAACACAATAATGCAGTCAGTTTATGTTTCAAAGTTGTAATAGCAAGTGTCACAATTTCCTGCAGCATTATACAGCAATTATGTGATATGAACAACCGTGAAGGCATTGCTCTGTACTTCATAAATAATTGTATTTAATATAGCTTTTGGACTGACAGAACATTTTGGCATTCCTATATAATTTTCTTACTCTTTCTTACCTTTTCTTACTCTTAAATTTTTTTACTCTTTAGACAAACTTTATTTATATTGTATAAGGATATTTAAATATAAGATATAGCTTAATTGTAAGGCTTAGTTACATCGGAAATTAGGCTGAAGTGTTTTTCCTTTTCTATTAAGCTCAAGATTATATGTATGTATAAAAATAAACAAATAGATATCCATATATATATCTATCTATCTATGTGTGTGTGTGTGTGCATATATGCATATATGATTTGAATTATATTCAATAATACATATAATTGATTTAGTCATTCGTATGTCTAAGGCTAAAGAATTGTTTACTTGTCCTAGCTGCAACACTAGGTACATTGGATCAACGTCACATTGGAACAAACACAGAAGTCTTGAACATATTGGGAAATCCATAAGAACTGGCTTACCTCTCACCAACCCGTCCTACTCTGCTATTCGCCAACACTCACTCACAGAAGACCATGCCTACACACATTGACTTCAAAATTCTTTCTACATCTCCTAACAGACTAGACCTCTCATCTCAGTCTCTACTGATCCACAAGATGAAACCAGAGCTTAATAACAATCAGACAGCCACACAGCTATTTACGGGGTAATTTTGTAACCGTAACTGCCTGTTTCCCCATTAATGGTGTGTTTTACTTTTGTATATATATACATATATATATATATACCTATATATAAATACACATAAAAGTTGGTTACACAAATAATACTATAAATGCTGAAGGAATCGCTTATGAAAATACAGACTCTGCTTCCGACCGCATTTGACGCAGAAAGAATGGAACGGACTCCCTCGCGAGCAAGTCCTGTCTGCGAGCCCTGCCTCTCGCCCGCGCCAAA